CGAGGATATTTTGATTATTGCTCTCAAGCAAGAAATGAGTCTAAGTAGGAACATTCTGAGTATAATATCTTGTAACATATTTTAGAATATCTTCAAAATATCGCGTACTATTTGGGACCTCGCAGGATCTCCGCAGATGTGCGTCCATTTTTGCAAGATATTTGTCAATTTAGTCGCGTACGTCAAGTAGTGCGCGTTATGTATTCATTATTGCGAAAGAAATGCGCGTTGGCCTCTAAAATCTATCGAGATTATATTTACATTAATACATACTCGTATATGTACATACAATCATCACATCAATCTTCTTCAGATGTTCGTCGGTGTGTCAATACGTACTTTATATATCCATTAACTCTTTGCGATCCTTGATATGAACTTAACATGATGATTCATATATAATCCTCGCGAAAGTATCCGGATATTTAAAGGATTGATTTTATGAACTTTTTATATTATAAAAACTTTCACAAACGTCCTAGATGCAGTAAATATTCACTATTCGTTATATTTTTCATAATATTGAAATAATAACAAAAAATATTTAAGAATGATGTTTTAATTTCGTAATTAATTTTGATTATAAATTAAGACAGAATCTCTCTTTCTGCTTTTTTTCAAGATAATATTGATAATATTGATAAATCAGCAGGTTAATTTTTCCACTATTGTTTATATAAATAAATAACAGAATAAGGTTTTTATTTTAATTTCAAGTTTTTCGAAAATTTTAAGAATGTAGGACAAATTGAATAAAAATAGACGTAGAAATTAGGCGAGAAAAAAATACCATTAAATAATTAAAAGCTTTTAAAGTCCTGGAAAAAAAAAACTGTATCCTACATATAATTTAGATAAATTTAGATTTTTAATTGTAATTTGACTCTTACTTCGCCCTTTTTAATGTTATTGATTATTCCTGCATATAAATAAAAATTATAACGTTACCGCACGCTGTAGATTTTATCGTTAACAATAACGCACGTACTTCGGGCCGGTTTTCACAAACTCCACATCGTCTCTTTGTACCTCTATTTTTCCTAAAGTGTTCGTATATCCAAGTACCTGGGTGGTCATATACATATGTGCACCATATCGAAGAACAATACAGACCGCCCGCATATCTCGAAAGGCTAGACCGAATTTTCTCTCTTCCTCTCTTCCTCTCGCAATTTGTAAAGCTTTCATTTTATTATATCGTAAAAATATCGTACCATTCCGCCACTTCTTCACTAACTGTGCGGTCGTGGCCAGTCCGCCATATGTATACCTCCAGCACGTCTTCCTTTATATCATCCGTCGCCTCTACCTCGAGTGACTCCTGTGAAACATCCGTCGAATCGATATTTCTTTCACGAAAGAGGTGTATCGCATTTGTCCTGAGAAATACGACGACGCGAGAGTCGTAACTTATAGCTCCTTCGAGAGAATGCTGAAAATTTGATTCGTATAAGAAGCTGATAGTGTATACTCGTAGAAGAATGGTAGATTTGTAACACAGTTTCGTATTCGGTGGATGCTTTTTTTTTTTTCAACTGTTAAAATTTCGAAAAGAGACGTAGTTGAATTACACACATGTTTAAAAGAAGATCCTGCAATAGCATCGAATATACAAACGGTATTTCAACGGTTTTTGGTTAATTTGAGCTAAATGTTTAATTGTCTTTTACGCTTAAGCCAAATGTAAAACGTAATACGCGTAAAATTATATATTGAATATAATTTTCTAACTTGTGGTTTAACAAAATATATATTGTAGTTTGTAGAATATCATACGTGCTCTCACGTGAAACCGATGAAACAAATGTGAATATGCATACATAACAATATAAATTGCGGTAAATCGCTAACAGAGTATTTAATACATAAAGAGATATATAAACGAGATGGTCTCTTATAACAACGTTCTGTGAAAATAATTAACTGTACTATCCTATGTATACGTTTCCCAGCTATTATATAATGTAAAAGCATATTATTCTCCTTTGTCATTTATCACAAAGCTCTGATCAAGATGTTGATCACCGTGAATGCTCGTTATTATTTCACGACCATGGATTATTTTCAAGAATAATTTTAGCAGGAGGTATAATTTTCCTAAAAATATTATAATAAAATAGTTATTAAATGAGATAAATTTTTAACGCATATATTCTAACAACACAATTATACATAGATAAATATATGAAATATATTTGTGAATTCGAAATATTGTGAATACACGCGCAAAAGCTATAAAATACTCTCTGAAACAATTATATAATAAAACGTTCGTGAGTGAAGCGCTTAAACGGGCAGGTTTCTTGAGATGCTTTTATGGTAACGTTAGCGAGACTTTTAACGAAATTTGAGAGTCCATCAAGCTGGTGGAAAACGCACAATGGATGTTGGTACAGGATGTAGAAAATTATATTGCCGTCCATGTTGTTCCTCATTTTCGTCATCGTTCTTGAAAAATGCAGACTCACCCTCGCTGTTACAGTTACATTAGCCGCAAAGAGGTTTCAAGTTTAAAAGTCTACAGCGTGAAGTTTATTCGGAAGAGATATAACGTCTTGTATGAAATAAATAATTAAGAAATTAATAAGAATACATATACATACTGCAAAACTTCATTTAGTTTTCAACTGAAAAATGTTGGTTTAAACAAATTCCATCGTAAACTTTCCCTACCTCTTTTAATTCACGTTTTAATCTCTTTCTCAACGAAATAATAAATTTTCTCTTTAATACATTTTGAATGAAAGAATAAAAGGAATATATAAATAATATGTATGTATACTTGATAAAAATTGCGAGTGTAATATTAACAATAGAAAATAGAGAATAATCTTAAATTAATTAATTATTGAAGATAAATTTCTGCTGTCAGTTCTCTTCTCTATCCGTCTGCGAGACGTGTATGAGTTCCTTATAATTTTAAGGGTTGCAGAAGGTTGTATTCTAATAATATTTTGTGAACGATCGTTCTCTGCCCTCTATAATTTCACTTACGGTCCTAAAGGTCCTAATTTGTTTTGTCACGCAACAGTGACAGAACAGAGGAAGCAGACATCTCGCGACGCCTTTATCGCGCCGTAATCGATAAAGCGAGAAAAAAGGACGCAGGGACATTCTCGCCTTCTAGGAACCCACTGTAGTATGACGTACTGCCGGTGGCGTGGACCGTAGAAGTGGACCTCCCGTCAAGAATTCTCTGTCTCCTCGTAAAAAAAGGTGGGAAAACCAAAGAGAGATCGTCGCGACTTGCGCTTTCCTTCTTTCTGTCTTATACTCAGTTATAAAATAACAGGCCGATTATTTAATTCGAATGTTATCTCACCCGAGAATTATATAGAGTTAGAATAATATTAGACTGTTTATATTTTTTATTTAATGCTAATCATTTGGGAACAGAATTAGATCTGTATCGATACTTTAATTAATATATATCAAAGGAAATGAAAATGCGTATAAGATTAAATTAAAAATATAATACAACGATTAAAATATGAAAACTCGAGAGATGTTGTTCCTTACTTTTTTTTCCTACTCTTTTCACTAATTCATGTGGGATCCTAAAATATACGTCGCTGCGACTTTTATCAAGATCGCCCATAGATTCTTTTAATCGATGTCTCCTCTGAAAACTCGTCCCGCTAGGGTGGCGCATTTATTGCCGAACAATTTGTAGATACAAATGGACGGTGGACAAGAGGTGACAATTATTCGAATGTATAGGGGATAGATACCTCTCTCTCTCTTGTATCCTTCGTCGTCGTCGCATTCTCTCTCCTTATCTCTCGCGTCATCACCCATCACACGCGCGACTCGTTATAGCATCTCACTCTAATTAACGAGCGACCTGTATGCGCCCGCCCTACCATAGTGAGAGCGAGAAACAAAGAAGGTGAAACGAGAATACGCAGGAGAGGAGCAATTTTAAACAAATGTGCGTTTTTATTGCGTACAAAGAATTTTTAGAAATAAATAACAAAAATAATGAAGAAGAAAGGAAAACGCAAAAATAAACGATTGATCTTTAAGAGAGAAAGAATTATATATTAATTTCTCATCCCCCGCGAGGAGGAGTAAATTATTTTATTGGGCAAACGCATAATTCGTGCATGTAGCAATAATACGTACAAGCATTTTGGAAAAGAAAGAAGAAAATGGAAAGAGAGAGAGA